TTAGCCCCGGGCAGAGTGAGCCTGCAGGTTTGAGCCATCACAATGGCTCCATCTTTCCTCATCTTGCTATGCAGCTTCCAGCATCTTGGACTGAGGAGCTACTGGATCTTGTTTTTCTCTAAGCACACAGATGATTACTGTGGGTTATCCAGGTTCTATTCTGTTCCTAAAAGAGAAACTAACCAATAAAATGTATGAAAACATGCAGTACTTGTTTTTCTGTGTGTCTCATTTCACTTCACACAATGTCATCTAGTTCCATACAGTTGGCTTCAAAAGATAAAGTCTCATTCTTCTTCATGACTGACTAACATTCCATTATGGACTATATTAGTATACTCCAGTCTATCAAGTAGATCCAGTTATATATCTATATATTTATATATATATATATATATGTATTATCCAGTGCATCTATATTTTCTTACCCCTTTGTATTTTGATGGGCATCTAGGTTAATTCATCATCTTATTCATTGGGAATAGTGTCACAGTAAACATGAGTATGTTAAGTATCTTTTCGGTGTGTTGACTTTTTTGAGAGGGATATGTATCCAGAAGTGGCATAATTTAATCATATGGCAAAACTATTCTTAACTCTTTGAAGACCATACATATCCTGTGTTCTCAGAAATAGTAAATGAGACGTGTTCACATCCTTGCCGGCATTTGTCATAGCTATTTTTTATTGTAGACATTCTAATTGGTGTGACATGATATCTCATTGTAGTGTTGATTTTCATTTCTCTAATAATTAATTATATCAAAATGTTTTCATCCATTTCTTGACTCAAAATACTTAAGAAAAGACAAAGGTAATCTAAGTCATTCATTGGGAAAACTATCTAAAAAGATACTTCTCAAACATTCTTTACCTGTAATATATTGTTACCTTCATTACAAATAAAAATAAATTCAATGAGAAATCCTTTTTTGTATCTCTGCTTTAAAAATGATCAAGTTATAGCTAGGTAGAAGAAATAATTTTTAGTAATCTATTGTACAACGTAGTGATGTGGTAGTTAACAATATTTTATACTTTAAAACTGCTTAAAGAATAGATTTTAAATGTGCACAGCAGAAATAAAATACAAATATGGGAAGTGATGGATATTTTAATTATACTGAATCAACCATTCTAGGATGTGTACATGTATCATAATATTGTATTTCATGAACATACACAATTGTTACTTTTCAATTAAAATAAATACATTGGAAACTGTTTCCAAAGTCCAAATATGGGCTGGGAATATAGCTCAGTAACATAAGTGCCTGCCTGGCAAGCACAAGGTCCTGAGTTCTGATCCCAGTACCAAAAAAACCAAACAACAACAACAACAAAAAAAACATAAACAAAGTCAGAATATGACAGAGGAAAGTAAACTTTCTTTAAAAGAAGAGCTTGAATAAATGATATAAAAATAAGATGTGTTTAGATTTTACATTTATCATGTTTGGTACTTACATTTTCATGTTTCTTTGATACCTGGGTAACTGTAATTTCACTTTCTATTTTTTTAGATTTATATTTAAAGGTATTATTGTTAAATGTCCAAATAATAGCACAGGAAACAGATATTAATATTTTCACTAAATTCCACAATACTTTATGTTTTTAAATTTCTCTTTGAGGTGTAGTGTTAGTAATAAGATTTTATAATTCTTGGATTCTTTATAGTTTCCAGTGAATTTTTAGAGCAATCTTTAAAAGATGGAGATAATGATAATAATGTTCTCAGTTTTTGGCTCTGCTGAATTGAGACCCAAATTCTCCAAAACACCAATTCATAGAAATCTCTTCAATTCAATGAGAATGTCAGAATTTTGTTACCTCTTAGCCCTGTGTGAAGAGTGGAGATTTCTCTCCATTTTCTAAATTCAGAACATATATTATTAGAATCTACACATTGCCATAAGGCAATGATGCCAAATCTGAAACTAGAAATATATACTGCAAGGTGTACAACTATACCAAGTAATGTATTTTTCATTTGATCATGTTATCATTTATCTCTATTATTTCTTCTGAAAGCAATATATCAAAATTGTAAGTTTTCACTGAGCTTTAGATTTTAGCTAACAATGTAGACTTTGTAAAGGAATGGGCTTCATTCATTGAACTTCTTGTCAAGGGGAAGTCTGATAGTGATACACTGAACATTTTCTCTCCAAACCAGGCATAGCACCACAAATTTCATACTCTTGAAACATATTGTGGAAGATTGGGGCTGAGCTAGGAATGGCACTCTGCTTTCTGAGCCATTCTGTGAACCCTTCATGTTGCATTTGGTTGACTCAGTTCTGCAGATGGGAAGTGCAGGGTAGATATTTGACAAGAATACTTTCAGAGAGTCTCTGCCACTGAAAGAATCTCTATTGATTTTCCCTGTGAGTAAAATCAGACATTCCAGAAACAAAGAGGTAATAAAAGAAACATTTTTTCTAAACACTTCCTTAGAATGGCGTTCTTGTTAGTTGAACTTGGGAAGTTTTTTTCTTTTGGAATTGAATAAAATAAATAGGACTTTTTGCACCTAGAGATAATTGTCCTTTGCATTTTAAATATTTTATATACTTTCAAGCTCACTATGCAAAGCATTCTGGCAAGAAAGCATTCTGCTGTACACTACCTTGACCCATTGATCCAGCCATTCATTCATTCATATCTCCATTTACAGATCAGTCACAATTTGTGAAATGATCCTCTGGACCAACTTTGTAATGCGCTGCTATGGCAGTCAAGGAAAGAATTCTCTCGCATTGCGCTGGGTTTCCCACCATTCAGGAGATGCTGTAGAAACAGAAAACTCATTCTTAAACATTGCATCCTTCATTCAGCCTCATGATGACAGGATGGAAAACAGTCTCTCTTGGCCCACACATGAGACTCATTGTAAGAATATTTGCTCAGCTCCAAATTCGTGGATAGGTAAGTTTCATGCAGTTAAAATGTTCGAAAGTGTCTCTTTGAGTCTTGCAATTTATTTTGTCTGATCTATATTCTTTTCTGTGCAATAAGCTAATAAATATTCCAGCCAGGTTTTTTATTAATTCTTTTTGCTTTTCTTTTGTAGCTTTTGACTGACATCTATTCACTTCAAGGGTGATTTTCCTGTTGGCAAGAGGCAGAAGAGACACACCAAGCATCACCTTCCGGAACAAGCAATTTAAGTACTATAATGAGATGGGTCTTTTCAGAGTCTATAATTGGTGACAAGGTATGGCAGCTTCATATCAGACAAAGATGTACAACACAGAGCTTATTAATGAGGATGGAGCGTCATACTCAAGAAAGCTTCCTGTGACTATGAGACAGGAGAGGATAGCAGATAGTGTAGGCTGTTACTAAGTCCAATATCTCCAATTTGCATCATAAAACCTTTATGTAAGCCAATTCAAGCTAATCTGGGAAGGGATATTTTACCCTTTAGAATTCACTTGGGTAGCCAGCAATCCATCACTTTGGATCCCAGCCCTCGCAGACAGCAGCAATAATCATCTAAATTTGCAGATATACTCAATTTAATTGGGTTAGTTTAGTAACCTTCCTTGTATTAAAGCCAACTTGCAAAGAGATGTAATATTTTCACAGTTATGAAGACATAGCAGCTGGCCATAGTGAGATTTGATTGTGGATCAAGAAATCAGATTTTCATCAAGTTAAGAACTCTTCATGGAAATACATATGGAATAAATAATAAAGTAAAATGATTAACAAGGAGACCTACAAAGATATTGTCAAGGCAAAGCAAAGCTGCCTTACTGACAATGCAGAATGCTTTATTTGGCTTACTTGGATGTATATCTTTTTGGGTATTTTGGGGGGTTTTTGTTTGTTCTTTGCTTGTCATTTTTACTAACACTGGGAAGAGAGAATTGATTTTAAATAAAACCAAAATATTAAAAGGATTTTACACTAATGTATTACTTTAATACTTACAAGCTCTAAGAACTTCAAGAATTTCAAATGACTTTGTAGATATTAACTCATGAAAGTTGATGTAAACTTTTAAGACAGGTACTAGTATTTTCTTTAAACATTATTAAATATTGAGAGGGCAAATAACTTCAATTCACCAGAGTAGAATTTTAAGGGCAGTCAAGAATTATCTTGGGTTCTTGGTGCTTTGTTTGTAGTGGGAATCATACTCTTTCTTTTATGAACAATAAAGCACAGAGAAAACAAATACCTCTTCTTCAGTATAAAATGGGGAGTCAAGTGTTATACTTTAATGAGAATTACCATCCTTTCATCATTAGCAGCATACTAACAAATTTCCATTATGAATTTTTTACAGTGTAATTACAAAAAAAAAAAAAGGCAGAAGAAAAGGTGAAGCATTGCCTAACTTAAAACGTTCCTTTCTTGGATACAAAACACTCCTTTTAGAGCAAGCTGCCTGTATCACTGTGAGTTGGTTTTGGGGGGAATTCTTTTTGTTTATAATTATGAATGCTTTATTCTATTTAGTTGTATGGTTCTCTCATAGATACCACTCTATGGCAATTTCAGGGGTGGAATTCATGCATTTTCTATGTAATTAAAATTTTTTTGAAGTTTGGCCTTTTTGCCTATAAACTGGAAATCATAGTTCAATATAAATTTTGGAAATTCTTTAACTGATAAATGTACATTGATGATAAAGTTCAGGACCATATTTTCAATTATCAGTGATCACAGGAGTATTTTTACTCGTGCATCACATATGACATTATAAGGAGGCTAAAAGTATTTCCTTCTGTGTATTCAAATGAGAAAAGGAGAGTGCCAGATATCAGAGATGAGTTTTTTTCCATTTGGTCAAGGGGGCTGGCCAAGGGTAATAGCTTAGAGTGGCAGATTCTGGCAGATTCTTACAGACTCTAAAGGATAGAAAATTATGTCACCTCTTCCAATCATACTTTGTTTTTAACCTCATGATTGTGTGTTTTGATTGTAGCAAGGCATTGTACAAACACATGGGACAAGTCTACTCTTAGCCCAACTCAGCATTTACACAGTGAAAGACTGACAGGCACAGGGTGAGAATGGGAGGATTCACTGGATTCCTGACACCCTCCAACGTCTGTAAATTCTATTGGAATAACCCAACACAGATATTCTAATTTGGTGAGTGCCTTTGTGGGTGGAATTTATGTTTCACATGCTTATTGGACCTGTTCTCCACTTTCCTTCCTGGGTGTAGAAAAGTGGAATTTTCACTTACTGCAATTCTAAGATATGAAGTTTAAATCTTTGGGTTGCCCTTTATAGTCAACCGTCCCCAAAACATACACATGTAACCCACCCAATAGGCAGCAACCAAGTATGTGGAGTGGAGTGTGGGCTCTGGTGCTGGACTGTCCCGAGGACAAGCGGATGCAAAACACAGCCCTAAGCTGCTTCTTAGGCCTGGAGCTTTATGCAGCATTTGCCTGTCTGAGCTTCATTTTCCTCATTTATAAGCAAACGTAAGAATATCTACTCATTTTGTGCATGTGGTTAAGAAGAATCTACGTAAAGCATTGTCTTTGGGATGGTGGTACTGTTGTTGCCTTTTCCACTATTATGTGTGGTGGAGGATTCTGGGGGCAGGACACTTTCCTGAGTAAGGCAGGACAGTGATGTAGGACCATCTTGTGGGTGCTCTTTTCTCTCTTCTGTGGATGTCAGTGTCTTCTCACCGAGTGTTTCATTCACACCTTGCCCAGACACCTGCATATAACCTTACAACTCTTAAATTTAAACTTACAACTCTTCAATAACGAAAATAAGAAGATAAACACTTTGTTCTGCATAGTGACTACATTTTTAATGTTGTTTATGAAGTCACTCACCATTCTCTCATTTTATGCCATAAAACGTTGGAAAGTCAGAATGTTATGTGATATAATATGATTTTTTAAATTACCCTAAAACTAAAGAAATTATTTTTCTATACACATGTAAATTATTTTAACATCAGCATTCAAATATATTTTCTAGTAAATGAAAAAAACATCTACTAATCAGGGACAATTGTAGGCTTTTAGGTTTTTATAACATTTATGTCAGTAATGAAGAAGCATAATACAAATATGAGATTTTGAACATAAGAAGATGCTTCCTTTTTTAAAGTTTTATTACTCCGTATTTGAAGTACATAATGATTACTTTCATTGTGAGGCGGTGGTACGTGTACATGTTACATCTTCATTCTTTTAATGTTCTCTTTCCTTTTGCAAAAGACCCATCTCCCTGTTTTCTATTATCAATCTTTCATTTTTCTCTTTAACTTATTTATACTTTAGGTTTCTCATGTAAGCTTGTTCCTCTGATTTATTGAATTCAGTATTAGAGTCTCAAAATGCATCTGTTTTCCTACAATTTACTAAGAAAGAAAATCTTTTTAAAAGATGCTAGTGTTAAGGAAAATAAAGGAATAGAAAACTAACCAAGAATGCCAAAAATGATTATTATCATTTATATGAAAATCTCTTGTATTATATGTCCTGTAAAATGGATGAAGACATATCCTATACGGCTGAAATTTTTTTCTGACAGGTGTCATTTTTCCAAGGTGAATGGTTGAATATTGTAGTCACTTTTAGAAAGTAACAGCTGCTAATAGTTTCTGAAGGTTGGAACTGGTGACCACATACCATCAGGTGTTGAGTTAAGCTGAAACTTCTTTTATAATTTCTGGTAATTTTTATTCTTTCTGTCCTAATAAGAAGCATTATTGTACATAAGCCAATATCACATCACTGGTTGGAAATAATGTTATTAAAACTTACCTGTCATGGAAACTTGTACGTGCTTAATGAGGTCTTACTCAACTTTCAAGAGAAAATAAAAATTCTGAGTCTTTTGTGAATATTTATATCTTAATTTCTGCAATGTTTTTCTTCTTCAGAATACTTATTTTCTGATATTTCTGTGATTGTTATATCTGTACACATACAAAAATATTTTATCTCCTTGGTCCTTCTATATTGTATCGCTTATGGGTGTGAGGGTGACTTGGCTGTGACATCTGTCGGTGAATTGAACGCCAGGGTGTATAACTTCCTCGGCTTATTACTGTTCTTCTTTTGTTTTTAGTAGCCTACAGAACGTTTCTTTTTATCTAAAAGAGAATGAAAAGTATACAGAATTTCTCACGCTACTTCACAGTTTATTTCTTCTTGAAGTCAATGTTTATTCTCCCTGGATGTTTTCTCTTATAAGGGATAATTAGCTTGGACGATGATTTGTGTCCCGTTTTCTAGTCTCTAAAATGTTTTCAGCGCTGCTGACTGAGAAGGATGCAGCAGGTATGCCCCAGCAGAGAAAGAAGAGCTGAGAACTCTGGTGGCAACAGCCAGCAAATGTGTTGTCTTGATTTGTAAAGGGTTTTAATGTCATCAATAGTAATTCAGCAACGAGAGAGTTGTAAAATGCAGCTCAAAATGTAGCAAATTGCATCATTGTTAGTGCTTTAGAATTTTAAAATATCTTCAGCAGATGGTAGAGTACTAGGAGCAATGTCTTGCTTTAGTGTCTAGGAAAAGTTTATGTCATCATAAACCCTAGCATTGATCGTGACTTCTTTGGCCTGAAGTAGAAAAGTTGTTATTTATTTTCCTTTCCTTTGACTAGTTTGCTTTTCAAAAATATTTAACAGAATATGAAGAAATCAAATTTTCTCAGAGAAATGGCTCACTTTGCAAATAGATGAGAATGAAATGTTGTAATAGAGTATCCTTGGAAATGGAGAAATATTTTAAAACAGCTTAATAGAGGTTCTTTTCTCTTGAGAAGAATTCTCTGCAATCTTGTCCAATTTGATTTTAAATATCCTGAATAAAAAAATCATTTTCACTTTGAAAATAAATTCTAGCAATTTACAAACCCATCAAACTTTAGTTCTGGAGGCTTCCTTAAATGTTAGCTATTCTTATATCATTATATTTGAGATTAGACTACCTGAGATCTCTTCTCATGCTTTATTTTGCACATGCCCAATACACTACAGGGTAAAAGTATAATAAATGAATTGGAGTTAGTGGCCATCTTAAAATTTTCCTAAATTGAAATTCATAACTGTGTAGTTATCGTACTTATCAGTCTCCTAGAATCCCAAAGAAATTGTGCAATGGGTTGTTTTATTTTTGCAAATGATACAAAGTTCAAAATAAACAATAGACTAAATAACATCTTTATTTATTTGTTTTATTGTGGTGTTGTAAGCATTGGGTTTTTCTGAAAGAAAACATGGCAAAGCATTTCAAAATAGGACATATTTAATTGTCCACTATTATACACCAATGTCTTAGATAGGCTTTCAAGAGAGTCTATCTATGCAGAACTCTCACCTGTGGCATTTGTTTCCTTGTGAAGTATGCATGTTGAATTCATAATTTTCTCATCTGTAAGATGAGGCTAACCCCATATCGGAGGTCTGTTGTAAGGATTAACTGGATTGATAATGTAAAACAGTTTAAATGGACTGGCAAACTAAAAGCACACAGCAAATACAACCTCTGTTATTATATATTAAACACTAAGCAGTATAGAATGAAGGTTTTCAGGAAGATAGCATGGCAAGGCTGAGCCCAGCAGGAATGAACAGGCAATTAGGGAGCAAGCTAAGTGGCGTCAGGGTGCCAGGAGGAAAACTGGTTCCAAGGTAGGTTGCTAGGCAGATTTTCTAAACATCAGTTTCTGCATTATTGGTCACACGTTAGTATCCACAAACAGAACAGAAAAAATGAACTACCTTCGGTGTTCCCTTTAACCTGTACCTCATCTTCCTCTAACTTTTTTTGTATCTGAACTTAATCCTCTTTATATGGATTGTTTCTTCTTCTTAACATTAAGTGGGCTGGACTGAGGATAATTTCAAACAAAGATAGCCGGGGGAGTTGATAAGAAGTAAAATAAGGCCATCGTCTTATTCACCTTTCTATGTTGTACTCAGCCTGTCTTGATAATACTGAGAGAAGAGACAGTTCTGTGGGAAGAGGGGCTTTTTATTCTGTCCGTATCATCAGAGATGTCTAAGGTAGAGTCTTCCTCAGCTGTTTTTCACTGTTCAGCATGATTCTGGGTCAGTGTTGGCACTAACTAGCTGCTACACCCACCCACAACCTCGTCCTTCCTGCAGGTCACACCTCTTTTGTGGCTTCTCTGCTTGTACAAAGACCAGAGATAAAGTAAACAAAGAAGCAGCCAAAACAAAAGTATAAATGTTGCTAGGCACTCTGGAAGACTACTTTGAGAGCGCTTTTATTCTGGGTCACAGTACGTAACTTGTTGTCTTAGTCTCCAGTGCGTAGAGATTCTTTTCTTTGGGGTTAACATTTTGGCCTTTCTCTTACACGCTTTAGTTCTCTGCAGAGTTGGTTGTCAGGGCCCAGCATCTTCAGTGCTACCCAGTGCCTGCTGGTTTGTGATCAAGGACAAAGGCATTGATGCTGTCGGAGGTGTTCCTGCCCTGGCCTCGCTGACATTCACCTTTCAGATTATCACCTTTGAAAAACAATACATCATCTTTGAACGTCATTGCCTTTTACAGATTCAGTTCTCATTGTATATGAAAAAAATCCAACCTTCACTCCCTTCACCTATCGGCTCAGCTCGGCTCTCTAGTACAAGATGTAAGCGAAATCTGTTAGAACACAAATGGTTCTTACAGAGTTCACGAATGTTGCATGCCAGTGCAGAGCTGAAAGAATATGCAGATGTCAACCAAAGAAGAGGCAGGTATGCTGTGGTTATATAAATGAAGTTTAAGTTTGCCACCTGTTATTATTATGCATGTCATCTCCTCTTGTGAAGAAAAGTAGCAACAGCAGAGATTTTTTCAGTGACTTTTTCCTTCTTTGTGAACACTCAGATGCTCCACTATCCTAGAAAGTGCCTCCAATTCATTCTGTGCCTGTGTAGGAAAACTTTGGGATCCTTTTTGCATATTCCATATAAGTCAATTGTACATGGGCCCTTTCTTCTTTTTTTGCTGCACAGTGGAAATTGCTTCTATATTTCCTTTTGGAAGTAATAAATCACAAACATGCTTGCTATATGAAATGTAGAGGGTCCTTATTATGTAAGTATTCATTACCTGAGTCCTCTCTATTGGAAGATAGATAAGCTAGCAAAATTGTTAC